GTTCCTTCCCGCCACCGTGAGCCGCGGGGTCGTGTCCGTCCCACCGGATCGGTTGGGTTGATGGCCGCTCTCTTCACCGGGAAGATCCTGATGGCCAACCGGGAACGGGACGAGATGGAAACGGAGCGAGAGCTGGGCCGGGCGCTGGAGAACAAGGTGCTGCTGCTTTACTTTGGTTCGGGGCAGTGCCCGCGGTGCCGCCGCTTCTCCCCGATCCTCAAGGATTTCTTCATCCGTTTGACCGATGAATTTTACGTGGAACGAGCTTCTCAGCTGGTCCTGGTCTACGTATCCCGGGATGAGACGGAGGAACAGCAGAGAACTTTCCTGAGGAGCATGCCCAGGCGTTGGCTGGCCGTGCCCTTTGGGGATTCCTTCAAAAGGTACGAGCCAGGCCAAGCCCTGAGGTTAAAACGGCCACTTTGATCATCCACAGTCGGATTTTCCCAATATTTTAACTTTTTTCCATGTTTTCCCTCATTTTCACTCCCCTCTAGAGCGTGGTGCGGTGTTATAAAAACATTCAAGCTTTTTGGCTGCACTGATTTAGCATCAAGAATACTGTTTTTATCAAGCAAAAATATTTTCTCTTCTTTCCGTGAGGATGAGGAGATGTGAGGAGCAGTGAGGATGAGGAGCCGTGAGGATGAAGAGCCGGGAGGAGCCGTGAGGAGATGTGAGGATGAGGAGCAGTGAGGATGAGGAGCAGTGAGGATGAAGAGCCGTGAGGAGCCGTGAGGAGATGTGAGGATGAGGAGCAGTGAGGAGCAGTGAGGATGAGGAGTCGTGGGGATGAGGAGCAGTGAGGGCGAGGAGATGTGAGGAGCTGTGAGGATGAGGAGCTGTGAGGATGAGGAGCCGTGAGGATGAGGAGCAGTGAGGAGCAGTGAGGATGAGGAGTCGTGGGGATGAGGAGCAGTGAGGGCGAGGAGATGTGAGGAGCTGTGAGGATGAGGAGCTGTGAGGATGAGGAGCCGTGAGGATGAGGAGCAGTGAGGAGCAGTGAGGATGAGGAGTCGTGGGGATGAGGAGCAGTGAGGGCGAGGAGATGTGAGGAGCTGTGAGGATGAGGAGCTGTGAGGATGAGGAGCCGTGAGGATGAGGAGCAGTGAGGAGCAGTGAGGATGAGGAGTCGTGGGGATGAGGAGCAGTGAGGGCGAGGAGATGTGAGGAGCTGTGAGGATGAGGAGCTGTGAGGATGAGGAGCCGTGAGGATGAGGAGCAGTGAGGAGCCATGAGGATGAGGAGCAGTGAGAACCTCTACAATCTTCCCCATTTTTCTTCTCCTTTCCCCTGCAGGGAGCTGGAGCTGCGGTTCTCCGTGGCCGAGGTGCCCACCGTGGTGGTACTGAAACCCAACGGAGACGTCATCGTGGGAAACGCCGTGGAGGAGATCCAGCGCCTGGGCACCGCTTGTTTCCGAAACTGGCAGGAAGCTGCTGAGCTGGTGGATCGAAATTTTCTCTTGGCAGAAGATTTTGAGGACTGGAGCAGGAGAAGCATCACCGACCCCATCCGTCGCCTCAAGTACAAGCTGGACAAGAAGACGGAGGCGAAGAACAAGGGAAGGAAAGAGGATGGTGAAGAGTTTTCTTAAGGGCTCAGGAGGTCGTGGCCGCGCAGGTGGACTTGGCCAAGGACGTCCTTCAAGATCATTGTCCTTTCCTGATGTCTCCAGAACGACAACATCTCTCTGTATGATAAAAATCCACTAAAATCACATTAATTTCCCCAAAAATTGAATTATTTTAAAGCAAATACTCACGGCTGGAAAATCAACGAGCGTAATATTCCCACCCCGACTGAATTACGTTGCCTTTTCCCCACCATAAGTCATAAAAAATCTATTACATCTTGGTCATTTATTTCCTAAAAAAATTCACTCATTGAAGAGTTTTAAAAATAAGAATTGTGGGGTTTTTTAAAAAACTAAAGAGAAACCCCTCAGCGTGCTCAAGAGCCACGGAGAAGCTGTGAAACCACGACGGGATCAAAATCCCGACGACAAACCCACAACGGGGAGTTTTTTTAGGAGATGGGCACCCAAGTGAACAAATCCTGCGATATTTTCCGTGTCGTTTCTCACGTGACACTGATGATAATTTAAATTTTAGCCAAATCCTGCTGAGAAACAACTTGTTCCATGACTGGAATGACAAGGTAAAGCCGCTGCCCTACTGACCTGTCTCTCCGAGCGTGAGCCGCCTTTATTTATCCGTTAATCACCCTTTGCCATCTGCTGCTGCAGAGCATCCGGCAGCAATTCACTGGGAATCTCATCCCACGTGGAAAATCTGCCTTCCCACGGATGGGAAACGTGCCAGGGCAGCACACACCCTTAGTAAACATCTCTCTGCTTCATTTTTGTTTTGGATTTAATTAGTGTGAAGCTGATTTTTTGAATGACCAAGATGCTCCGTCACTAAAAAATTGAATTTACAGATCCTGCAGGGAATCCTGCTGCGTGCAGCCCAAACTTTGTGTAATTTTGGGGTCTGAAAAGCAAGAAAAAGGGGGAAAAGAGCATTTTTTTTGCATGTTTCCAGTCCCCAGTTCTCCACTGGATCACCAGGATTCCAAAAGCTTTGCTAGATCCATGAAGGATCCAGGAAATGAAGCCGGAGCGGCCGTGCAAGACCAACTTGTTCAACTTGTTTTTTCAGTTAATTCTCCTCCCTTCACCCAGCAAGTCTGGCAGGTAGATGAGGGAGGAAGGAAAATTCCTATCAAATAAATGTTTGGGAAGGATCCTGCATTAGGCAGAGGAAGAAGAAGAGCATTTCCTTTGGGATGTTCTATGGATACGGCGTGAAAAAGCACAAATAAAAGCCAAAAGCCTTTTGAGGTGACGTACCTGCTGGAGGGGTGAAGCTGTGCTGGCTGGTGGCCACTAATGAAACAATATTCCATTTATTTTGGGTGATATTCGGCAGTTTTTATGCCTGCATTGAAAAAAAAATATATATACCAAAAATTAGGAAGCTGGAGAGACCAGAGGGAGGCAGAGGGCAACATTTTAATCTGTTATTAACCAACAATCAGGTGGTTTTTCTCTTCCCCAGGGAACTTCGATGTCAATCGAAGGACAATTTCCACCTGAATTTAGAGGAGGCCACGAGGATGATGCGAGGGCTGGAGCAGCTCTGCTGTGAGGACAGGCTGAGAGAGTTGGGGCTGTTCAGCCTGGAGAAGAGAAGGCTCCGGGGAGATCTTATAGCGGCCTCCCAGTACCTGAAGGGGCTCCAGGATGGTGGGGAGGGACTTTTGCCAAGGACAGGGGGTGGCAGAACAAGGGGTTATGTCTTGAAAGTGGCAGAGGGGAGATGGAGCTGAGATGTGAGGAAGAAATTGTTTGGTGTGAGGGTGGTGAGACAGTGTCCCAGGTTGGCCAGAGAAGCTGTGGCTGCTCCTCCCTGGAAGTGTTGAAGGCCAGGCTGGATGAGGCTCTGAGCAACCTTTAGTGCAAATAATTTCTGATATATTGACTTTTTCAAACACGTGACCTTCCAGTTGCATAATTTTTGCTTTACCTCTTCCCCCAAGTGACACCATCTCCTGACAAAGAGCCTCATTGTTCTGGCAGAATAAAATATCCCGATGCAGGTGGAATCACAAAGATGATTCTCAAGGTTCAGGCAGCAGAGAGTTAATGAAAGGCAGGGGAGGAGGGTGAGCCTGATCCCCTCAGATAACCTGGGAAGTGAATAATTTCACTACTCCCAAGAGGAATGTGGACAATCCACACACCTGTCTGAGGTTGCAGACTCATCCCACGCAGCGGCGGAGATTCAGGAGCTCGACTGCACGGGGACAACACCGGACACCGGCTCGGATTTTCTGGTTTCACCTGTAAATACCAAGAAACCCCAGTTCTTTGGATCAATCTGAGAGATTTCTTAGGAGAAGTGATGGCTTTTTCCTCTCGTCTGTGTTTTAGCTGAGGAAGGAGAAGGCAAGAGATGGAAGAGATTCCCTCCAACTCACCTGAACCAACGTTTTTACTTGCAGATAATTTTATGGTAAATAAGAGAGAGCGATGGGAAACGCAGCGTTATTGCATATGGATATTCAAGGCTTGTTTTTGATATCCAAGCCTTGGGAAGAAAAAGTTTCTTAAACCTGAGTTTTCATTTACTGGCAAGGGTATGAAGAAAGTTAATAATTAAAATTTACTTCTCAGAAAACACTGGTAGCAACTCTACCAAATTAAAAAAATGAATAAATGCTGAGAGCTTTCAAATTCAGCCCAAACCTTCCATTTTTTTATTAATTTGTTTTTTTTTTTTTTCCCAAGTGTTTTGTTTTGTGTCTCCAACTGCTTTTGTAAAATGCTGCTTCTCCTCTTTTCAATGAGGGGGAGTCGTGTTAACGACCTGTGGGATTTTAGAGCTGTGCAGCCAAAAACATAACCTGAGAACAAAAATAAAACCAAACTCACCCACTGAACTGAGGAAAACTCTGCTGTGGCTGCTCCACCTCACCATGAATGAGCCAGGAGCCCTGGAGAGCACTGGTGGTGTTGGGATCACAGGCAGATCCCTTCCCTCCAGCCACCAGATCCATGCTGGATGTCTGCCTCCTTCCTGGGATTCGATCCGGATCCCCGGTGATCGCGTCGGTCGCGTGGACCTGATGGCCAACGAGGTTCTGCACGTCACCAAACACCTGAGGAACATTGACAGGAGATTCCAGAACTTCCGGGAGCTCTTCCAAAAAGGTAAATATTCTTCAATTCATTTATTTGCTTATAAAACAAGCAGATTATGTTAATAAAAGCAATCCTGGCTCATTCTTGCTGCGTTATTTATAACAATTAATTTAGACAGCCCTCAGACAATTTCAGGTGGCTCTGTACAGATATTTCAATGTCTAAATGT